TCAACGTCATAGTTGACTTGCTGAAGATCCAGATCAGGCACAATCATAGCTAGCAGCTGTCCTACATTGACTCGAAGAGAACGAAGTTTGAGGCTGCAAACACAAGTATTAACTGATTAGGTGAGCACCGCAATATAAATGACTTCTCTTATGGGACTTAAAAATTAAAAGTGAAAATACAGAAACCTCTGTGGAATAATATAGAATAAAATGAAAAGTAGAAACTCCCTCAAAAACTGGATTTAATTCAATAACCAAATGACTCATCAGATGCTAGGCTAAATCCAAGTAGAATGTTTCATTAAACTAGAGGCTCTTAAGATAACCTGGACTAGAAAAACACACAAATTAGATGTTAGTTCCAATTTGCTGTCACCTAGGAAGACAGCAATAAGTGAGAACACAAAGAACTAAAACACCGAGCTTTGAATTTCACCTTCTATTGGAGGAAAATAACCTGAACTGTACTTTACTTATGTTAGGAAAAAATTCTGTGGTCAAGTAAGTACCCAAAACCATGGCTTGAATATTACGAAGCGGGCTTTGTTCACCCGTGAGACAGACTTCTCTAATGTGTGTCCTAGTAGGTTAACTGTTAAGCTGGTACAGCCTAGGCCGCCTGAGAGCAGCTTCAACAGTCAGGCTGGTCTGTGTCAGTGTCTAAGGTGCAGGAGTCAGGATGGATGCCAGCAGCAGCCTTCTGCCTCAAGCTCCTGCTCTGACTCCCCTCTTGGAAGGATTGCAACCTGGAAGCTTAAGCCAAACACTCTTTACTCCCAAGTTGCTTTTGGTCATAGAAGAAGCCAACTGAGATCAGGTGATAATTCATTTATTGTTTAGACCTGTAGATCTTACACAGAACCCTGCACCCACGTAGTAAATAGCTGAGATCCTGTATCAAAAAGAACAAAACTCACCACCATCACCTAAAGTTAAACAAAAGCCCAAACCTGAATACTCAGCTCTCACTAAGGTAGTTATCCATTGTTCTGGCCCACTTTTAATGGAGTCCTAGGTCATGGTCATGGTGAAATTCAGCCCAGTGTTCATTTTTTTTTTTTTACCCAAATAACCCAAACCATTTCCTATCCCTTAATTTAGCAACTTGAAGCAATGTTCCTTCTCTTAACCTTCCATATCAGCAGCTCTGCCAGGACCACAATGTGTGCAGTGACTATGGAGAAGAGTGTCTCCGGAGCGTGTGTGAGCAGAGGTAACTGGTGAGCAGACAACCCCCACTCTGCAAACAAGCTCCAATACCTTTCCCCGTCCACACAACTGACGGATTCCTCAGCATTGCTTGAAGTTGAAACATCTGCTCCTGCCGGCTGACTCGTGGACTTCAACTGTTCAATTTCAGTTTTGAGTTCTTCACACTGCGAATGAACATGTGATTTTTCTATTTCCAATAACTGAACCTGACAAAAAATACAGTTTATAAGCATAAAATTTTAAAAATACAGTCCAAGTGCAAGTCTAAGTGAAGAAATGTAAAGAACCACCCTGATAAAATTACCAGCTGCTAAAACACTCCAGCAAAGTTTTTGTTTTCTTTTTTCTTTTCTTTCTTTTTTTTCCGAGACAGGGTTTCTCTGTGTAGTTTTGGTGCCTGTCCTGGATCTTGCTCTGTAGCCCAGGCTGGCCTTAAACTCAGAGATCCGCCTGGCTCTGCCTCTCGAGTGCTGGGATTAAAGGCGTGCACCACCACCATCGGCTACCTTTATTTTCTGGGGCTGGGAATATAGGGTCTTGCTCTTATAGGAAACCCATCACTGAGCTACATTCTAGTGCTCAGTAACTTTTCATTAAACAAGTTTCATTTGCTTAAAGTGTTAATGACCATTTGACACACTGTAAGTGGACCCTAGAAAAGTGAAACACCAAGATGTTAATGCTGTTGTTTGAAAAGGCTCTCATTTCATCCACTTAATATTATTAATTACAGTAAAAGCTTGTATTAACTTGCTTGTGTTTTATCATTTAACACAATAACCTATCATTCAGAGTGCATACAGGGCTGGAAAGATGGCTCATTGGTTAAGAGCACTGGCTGTTGGCAGTTCCCGTTCCAGGGGAATCCACACTCTCCAGGCACCAGGCACCCACCAGGTACAAACACATACATAGAGAAAACACCTATACACATAAAATAATAAAGTAAAAAAAAAACTTAAAAAGCTAACGTTACATTGGATGTGGTGGCACACACCTTAATATAGTATTTAGAAGGGAGAGACAGGTAGATCTCTCTGAGTTTGAGGCCAGCCTGGTCTACACATCAATTTCCAGGACAGCCAGGGCTACACAGTAAGACCCTATCTTAAAAATAAAATACTTTGCAAATCTGAAGTAGGACATATGCACAGGCTACCATTCATAGCTAATGCTTTTCTTTTTCCTCCGAAGAAAACACCTTCAGTAACTGTATTTTCCAGGCATCGATTAGCCCAGCAGCATATAAACACTGCTTTCCTGCAGCCTGGAAGACACACGTGCCATGACTGGACCTGAGGAGCCATCTCAGACCACACTTACTGTACACAAGGAGTCTGTGTCTGAACTGTAGAGTTGCCATTTGATTGGACTTTATTATGTTGCTTGCACTCAGAGGTCTCCTCCATAAAAGGAGGGTACTACTGGCTACCCCACATGGTTGTTAAAAGGTGTACTAGTTTTACACACCAAATTCTGACTATACTGAGTAAGTTACTCAGTCAAAGCAATACCCCACTCACTACAGGACACTCAACCACCATAACTGACCATTGCCCACTGTTTTCTAGTACTCTCAAACCTCTTTTTTTGCGGGCAGGGGGGATGGAAGGCCAAGGAGGGGAGACAGAGTCTTATGTAGCCCAGGCTAGCCTCAAACTTACCATGTAGTGAGGATGACCTAGAACTCCTGATCTCTGACTCCATATCCCAAGTGCTAGGACTACAGGTATTTACCAGAGCTGGTTTAATACATAGCATTAATTTATTTTACTTTTTTGTTCATTGGCGTGTGTACGTGGAAGCCTGAGGCAGACATTACTAACTCTTGCCTTTCATTTACTGAGGCCGCATCTCTTGACCCTAGAGCTTGCGAACCCCAGATTAAACTGCCACACCCACTGGGCTTTTATGTAGGTGGTGGGATGTGAACTTCAGTTCCTATGCTTATAAGGCAGGGGCTTTATTCACTGAACCATCCTGTCAGTCCCTATTTTAGACGTGTCTAAGAATCGAACAGCGTCTCCGTACCCCTCCAGCTGCCAGAGGCCCTCTCCGGTCAAGGCACCCGAGGGCTGCTGACTGGCGGCGCTCACCTCACTTTTATACTGGTCCCTCTCCACGATGCACTTGTCCAGCTGTCTGAACACGTCGTCCAGCTGCACAGCCATCTCGTCCATCTCGCTCTTACTCTCGCTGCTGCCGGAGCACTGGCTGCACTCAGTCTTCACGTGCTGCAGGGTGCTGCACTGCTTCTTCAGCCTCTCGATCTCTTCCAAAGCTTGCTGATACTGGGACCCCACAGGGTCCGGGCTTTCCGACTTCCCGTTAACACTTGCAAGCACAAACACAGCGTCGGTTTCGGTGGACTGGTGGCAGGTCTCCTTCTTCACGCATTTGTCATTCATCTCCAGGATCCTCTGCTGGAGCACTTTGATCTCATCAGTGTACATCTCACACTGTCTCTTGTAGTCATCCCTCTCCTGTGTGACGGAAAGCAGCTCACTCCTCAGCTCCTGTAACTGACGGCCAGCATCATCCGCTGACCTCTCCAGGGCCTCCTGCACCTTGGCTTCAGCACTTACACAGGAGGACAGTGTCACTGGGTCACTCGTCGCACCCGGCTCGTCGTCAACACTCTCCTCCTTTTTAACAATTAAACCTGGCGCGTCAGTCTGCGTGGAGCCGACAGCAGTGCCCAGGTCGCACTTGGAGGTGGAGGTGCTCGTTGCACTGGCCTGGGCACAGGGTTCAGGGCTGCCTACAAGTTCAACCTGCACAGCACTCTGTTCAGAGTGGCTCTGCTCCGACTTCACTTCAACATCGAGGTCGACCGCAGGTTTCGGGGTACTGTTCTCTTCTAAGATGATGACATCTTCATCATCATCATCTTTGTAAGGTTTTGAATTTTCAAAGGGAGGATTATTTAATCTCCGAGTCTTTGCATTCAGAATTGATGAACGAGTACTAAGTCTCCGTTTCAGGCTGGAAGAAATTATAGACATAAAATGTAAGTTTGTAAAACATGGGCATGACAAACAAACAAACAAAAATTTTACCAGGCGGTGGTGGCGCACACCTTTAATCCCAGCACTAGGGAGGCAGAGCCAGGCAGATCTCTGTGAGTTCGAGGCTAGCCTGGGCTACAGAGTGAGTTCTAGGACAGGCTCTAAAGCTACACAGAGAACCCTGTCTTGAAAAACAAACAAACAAAAAAACATGGGCTTGATAGAATACAACTCTCCCTGTTGCTGTGTCAAAATATTTGACAAAAGCAATTTAACATGAGAAGGGGTCATTCAGCTCACAGTGTGAGGACAGTCACCGTGGGAAGAGGTCACGTGGTACAGGGTGAGGACACAGTCACCGTGGGAAGAGGTCACGTGGTACAGGGTGAGGACACAGTCACCGTGGGAAGGGGTCACGTGGTACAGTGTGAGGACACAGTCACCGTGGGAAGGAAGCCATAGCAGCAGGAGGTTCGATGGGGATGGACACGTGGAGCTGGGACCCCCCCCACATCTTGGCAGAACCGGCAGAAAGTAGGGCCAGCTACACACCCTCACGTCTGTCCCCCGTGAGGCACGACTCTTCAGTTTCAGTCTTCTAAACCAGCTCCACTAAGGACTCAGTGCTCAAAGGACTTGAGTGATCATTCCAACAAAGCACTGAACAACTCTCTAATTATCATGAAATTCTAAGACATGCCCAGCTTGACTTTTTCAATGTCACACTATTCAGTCCTAATGCTGAATTAATGATACAAATTATTTTCTCCTTTTACTATTAGGAAATAATTGACTACTGAGATATCTCTCTCTGTTTTTGTTTGTTTGTTTTCCTTCAAGGCAGGGTTTCTCTGTGTAACAGCCTAGCTGTCCTGGAACTCACTCTGTAAATGAGGCTGGCTTCGAACTCACGGTGATCCACTTGCCTCTGCCTCTTGAGTGCTAGGATTAAAGGTGTGAGCCACCACTGCCGGGCTCTTTTGGGTTTTCAAGACAGGGTTTCTCTGTGTAGCCCTGGAACTCATTCTGTAGATCAGACTAGCCTGAACTTAAGAGATTCACCTGCTTCTGCCCCCCAAGTGCTGGGATTAAAGGCGTGCACCACCACAGCTCACCACTGATCTGTTTAGAGTACCAATTGTCTAAGCTGACAAACATCTCTTCACGGGTGGTTTCCAAGCACTACAATAAATACAAGGCCTAAATCAGAACCCTTCTTGAAACCAACAGTGATCAAAACCCAACAGATTCTCTATTATTGTGTGTTGAGAGCTAGTCTAATCCAAGATTTTCACTGAAATATTGCGAAGCAATGTAGTTCCTTGTCTAAAATCAGGAATGAGCTTGGTAGAGCCAGTAATGGCCTGGGGCCAGGCAGGACCTTAGGGGGCTGTGGATGCTAGGAACCCAACTCCTCCTACTGTACAGGGTGATGACCCTCAGTCCTCAGGTTGCTGTGTGCAATCTGAATGTTCCCCTTGTGTATTACTGTCTGACTAGCTTCCTACTGAAGCTAGTCCTTCCCATTTCCCCTTTCAGGAAAACCTGTACATAAGATGTTGTACTGAGCTATATGCCTGCTTGGCATAAGACATAGCTTGTGCCAGACCTCCTGACCTCAGTTTTCCTTTCTTCTTCACCTTCCCATCTGCTGCCCACCTCCCACTTAGGACCCCATCATTGAAGGATGACCTGCTGGCCCAAGTCAATTTCATATAAAATGATTCCTCCAAATTGGAAATTGTCTTGAGGCTGGGGAGATATCTTAGGAGGTTAAGAGTACTTGCTGTTTAAGAATGAGGACCTGATGCCAGGTGGTGACGGCACACGCCTTTAATCCCAGCACTTGGGAGGCAGAGGCAGGCAGGCCTCTGTGAGTTCCTGGCCAGCTTGGTCTACAAAGTAAGTTCCAAGACAGCCAGAGCTGTTGCACAGAGAAACCATGTCTTGAAAAACTAAAAAAGAAAGAATGAATGGAGACCTGAGTCCACATCCCCAGCACCCAAGGGGAGAAGCTGAGCAGATGCTGCAATGCCAGCACTGAGCACTAGAGGGTGGAGACAGAGACTAGGGACTCAGTGATGCTGTAACAGACTCCTCAATCAGCCTATCAGACTGCACAGAAAGGAAAAAGCTGGCTGAGCACTAGCATTCACTGCGTCTGAGTCCTGACCCTAGATGCCATGTGACAACATGCAACAAGTCCTGCTGCCACAACTTCCCTGGTGATGGACTGTACCCCAAGCTGAGCCACAATGAACCTTCCCCAGTTGTCCTTTCTCTTTAATTTTAAAAATTTTATATACATGATATATATATAGTGTTTTGTCTAAATGATATGTCTGTATATCACATGCATACAATACCCATGGAGGCCAGCAGGGGACGTCAGATTCCCCTGGGAATCCTAACTGGACAGGCGGCTAGTGCTCTTACTCGCTGAGCCATCTCTCTAGGCCCCTTAGGTGGCTTTTGTCAGGGTGTTTTATAACAAGGACAGAATAAGTAACTAAGATGGTCACTGGCCATTATAAAGGCAGTGATTTTTATACTACATACTGTTAACAGGTCCCAGACTTTGACACAACTGACACCACATCAGAGGCGCCATTCTGAAAATCTGCCAAAAAAGGAACAGAAGAGCTACTCCATCAAACACTAAGTCCACAGTTCCAGGAAAGATCTACTCCATCAAAGACTA